GAGAGAGAGAGAGAGAGAGACTGATTGGCCCAGTCTAGCCTATGGCTTGACTCTCTGTTCAGGCGTTCAGTCGGCTGTGGTGGTCAGCCAGGCAGAATCCCACGGCCGTGGTCAGGGGTGGGGCTGCACCATTCTACATTCCCACCAGCACCACATAAGGGCTCGGAGTTCTCCACATCCTTGCTAACACCTGTCTTTTGTTTTGTTATGTTTGGATAATGCCCATCCTAACATGCGGAAGGAGATAGCTCACTGTGGTTTTGATTTGCATTTTCCTGATGGCTAGTGACAGTGGAGCATCTTTTCATATAGCTCTTGGCCATTTTTCTGTCTCCTTTGGAGAAATGTCTATTCAAGTCTTAGTCCACCATTATGATTTTAATGGGACTCAAATGATGATGGAAGTCAGTTCTCAGTAGGCCAAAGTGCTCTTCTTCATGTATCTTTCTTTCAGAGAATGACAGAAACCCCATCCGCTCCGAGAGACAGGCAGAAGGGCACCGTGTGAGTGACACTCAGCCACTGGATGAAGTGGGATTTAGAGAAAGGTCCAGTACTCCTTCTGCCTTGGATCCTGGGGTCATTCTGTGGTTCAGGGCGAAGAAGTCTAGTCTCTCCTTAGTGCTAAAATCAAGTCTCCACGAGTAGTGAAAAGAATGTGATTTTGAGGGATGAGGTCAGGCAGATGAGAGGTTTTGATCTCCCTTCTCCTTGCAACTCGTTCTATGACTTTGAGTAAGTAAATTAATCTCTCTAAGCCTCAGTTTCCTCATCTGCAAAAAGGGCTAATAATTATTACCTCTAGGTGTTTCGAGGATTAAAGGAGGAAATGTATGGAAGGTGAAAAATACTGCATGTCCTCACTCATAAGTGGGAGTTAGGAGAGAAAGAAGGAAGGAAAGAAAGACCACACTGGTGCGTTGGACTTGCAGAGGGAAAGAGCAGACCTAAGGTTATGGAGTGGGGAGGAGGAAGGAGGTTGGAGATTAATTGGGTGGAGGAAACAGGGAATAATTGCAATTCGTGGTCATGGGCATGCTGGCCATCACATCTTGAGCACAAGTGGTGATGATCAGCTCTGTACCCCATGAATATGTATAATCAATAATAAATAAATAATGACAGGGGAAAACCATTAACAAAAAGAAAAGAAAGTGCCTTAACGAAATCAGGTCCCTCCTCTGCTCAACTCTCCCAGTAGTTTCCATCTGTATAAGTAAAAGCCAAGGTCCTTATGACTTAAGGAGCCCATCATCCTTTGAACCTCTTTGACTTTAACTCCTGTTTTCCTCCCCCTTACTCATTACCCTCCAGCTATGCCGGCATCCTGCTGTTTCTCTAACACACAAGACACAGCCCTACCTCAGGGCCTTTGCATTTGCTGTTTCTCTGCCTGGAAAGCTCCCCTTTCAGATAACCACGGTGACTCACTCCCTTCTTTCCTTTAGGTTTTTACTCAGAAATCACCTTCTCAGTGAAGCCTTTCCAGGCCACTCTATCTAAAATGTCATCGCACCTCACCCACACCTACCCAACACTTCATGTCCCCTTCCCTGCTTTATTCTTTCTTCTCATGACTAGTCATCATCTAACGCAGTACGTAATTATTTATCATCTGCCGTCCCCCGGCATCTTCACTGAAGGCAGGAATTACTAGGGTTGTTCACTGCTGCGTCCTCAGTGCCTAGAACAATGTGTGGCACATGATGGGCACAAAATAAAGATTTGGTGAACTGATTTGAGTTAATTATTGTTAGTTCCTCTTTACTTTTGAGATTCTACTTCCTAATCTATAAAGGGAGAAATACAATAGAGAGTACAGGCCATTGTTACTTGAACTGTGATCTCCTAGAAGCAAAGACAATACTCGTTTGAGTTTGTATTTACACAATGTCAGGCATACAGAAGGCACTCACTAGGTGAATGTTGAATAAATGAGGACATAAATATGTAACAGCTTGAGACAGGAAGATAAACTGTGACCAAAATTTACAAAACGTAGTATGTTGATCGTTAGGAAACCTCTTTGCTACACTTGCCTGTTCTGATATCAGTGCTTTACAAAGCTATTTATTTATTCGGCAAATAGTTATTTGCACTTTCTATGTTCTCAGGCACCTGTTTTAGATGCTAAGACTATAAAGTCGGACAGGACATGGCTGTTATCTTACAGTTTCTCTTCTGGACCCTTGAAATGGCTAATTTGAGGGCAGCATAGCAGGCACCATGGCTGTAAGGACACAGGTCTGTGGGACAAGCCCAGGAAAAAGGGACCTGTTCAATCTGGGAGAGTCAGGAATCTTCCTCAGAGGAAGGTACATTTGCAATGAGCCTGACAAGAATGAGTTACTTTGCCGGGGAAGAAAGTGAGAAAAGGGGCTCCAGCCCTAAAGAATGGTGTTTTCAGTGGCCTAAGGGTTGTGGGAGGGTAGTGTGTTGTGTTATTATCACCAGAGTAACAATAATGCTGCTAACATTTACTGAGTCTGTACTATGTTCCAGCGCTGACCTAATCTGTTATACACTCTCTAAGCAGAGGGATAGCCTGCAGGAAATATTCATGCCGTTTATCCTCACACATTCTGTGGGCAGGTAGAATGGGTTTTATTATCCTCACTAAGAAACGAGAGACTTAAGATTCTGATTCCCTTTGTGCTGTCACTAAACTGCTATCTGAATAACCTAATAAATAACCTCATTAATAACCTAGTAACCCTAGAACTTATTTTCTGTTTTCTTTACAAGCTGTTTTATTTTTCTCCTTAGCACTCATCACTATTTGGTGTACCAAATATATATATTTAAATTTGTGCATATCTCTTCTTTCTTTTCACTAGAAGGTGAGCTCTACCAGAGCAGGGACTTTGTTGTGTTCACTGCTATTTCCCAAGTACACCAAATGCCCTCCATAAATATTTGCCCTCCTGGGTTATTATGTAAGATCATCATGGAAAACGGCGGTCAAGTGTTTTCTTACAAACACGACTGTATTTGATTTCTTATTTCCAGACAGCGCAGTTTAACTGGGATCCAGAGACAGTGGGCCTTATCCATGGATCTTTTTTCTGGGGTTATATTGTGACACAGATTCCAGGTGGTTTCATTTCAAACAAGTTTGCTGCTAACAGGTAAGATGAACCTATGTAACATGAGTGCTGCACAGGTTATAACGTAGCTTTGTACCTTTATAAAATCTGCATAGTTGGCTCTCAATTTGGGGGTGCAGAATGAAAAACAAGAGCCATCCTCATAGATGGGATTCACAGAAATTGATTGCAAATGGTCCTGTTTTTAGGTGTCTCTTTTTATTTATCTGTTCATCCAATCTAATTTACCTTATAACCCTTTAAGTGATTATGTAGTAAAAAGAGCAATCGAGTCTGACACAGGAGAAATACTTTCAGGCCTCTAACTAGCTCATGGGGTGACCTCTGTCAAGTCACTTCCCTCCCTCTCTAGGCCTCAGTTTCATCTGTAAAATTAAACAGTGGACTAAACTGTTTCAATTCCCTCTGACCAGAGACTTTCTGTGATGCTAGGTACTTATGTTAATGTTGCCTAGTACCATAAAGGTTTTGACATGTGAGTAGCAGGGGCTTGCCTCTAGACTGCAAGCTGTGTCTTTCATGCCCTTGAGACTCTCCAGTAGGTGTCTG